TCTAGGCAGGGGCTCTACCACTGAGCCACGCCCCCAGCCCCTCACTGGGGGATTCTAGGCAGGGGCTCTACCACTGAGCCATGGCCCCAGCCCCTCACTGAGGGATTCTAGGCAGGGGCTCTACCACGGAGCCATGCCCCCAGCCCCTCACTGGGGGATTCTAGGCAGGGGCTCTACTGCTGAGCCACATTTTGAGGCAAAAAACTTGAGCGATGCTTATTACAGATTCACAAGTGGAGCTTAAGAGAGTGGAAAGAGCCAGGCCATTTGAGTATGCACAGAGGTCAGTTACATGGCAGACTAAAGGTACCCAAAAAAGGCTCTGGTGTCAAGAAAAAGAAAAGGTATGCCTTTCTCTCAAGAAGATTTCTGAATGGCAATGAAGCAGAAACTCCCTGGGAATCACTATGGTGACATGCACATGGTAACTGTGCTGTTCAGGGGCTGCAGAGCAGCCTGAACCAAGACACTGCAGTGGTGGAAGGCCAGAGTCCAGGAGCTTGTGGAGCAACTTGGAATTTCATGGCTCTACAACCTGCCCGGCCTTTCAAGAGCCAAAAGCCAGCTACCACTGTGGTCATCCCTCCCCAGCACGCTGGAGAGTCTGTAAGGTAGGCAGGCCACTTACCACCCACATACTCACCTCTGCACCGCTCGTCCATGCACAGCCCAAACCTCTCCTAGTTTTCACCAAACTCTTCTCTCTGCCCACCCCCCAAACAGGTGCCTCCTGTGAGATCACACTGCACCATAAGCCTGACCATAAACCAAAGAACCCAACCAAAATGGCAGCATGAAAGAAGGTGAGTGCTATATGATACAAACTGGACTACCTCTGCCATGGCCTCCCTCTTTACTTATTCTGGGAAGACATAGCCTATTGGATGGATGATGGATGATGGATGGACACATGGATGATGGATGGATGGGTGATGGATGATGGATGGATGATGATGGATGGATGGATGATGGATGGATGATGATGGATGGATGATGGATGGATGATGGATGGATGGATGATGATGGATGGATGATGGATGGATGGATGATGGATGGATGATGGATGGATGATGATGGATGGATGGGTGATGGATGGATGATGATGGATGGATG